GTTCCCGCACGTGTTTCTTGACAATCAAATTGTAAACGGCCGTTCCGACGGCGGCCCCCTCTTCCGCTGGCGGGGCGGGCCGAAGGCCTTTAGCTACCCCATCTTCACAGCTCGCCCCTGCGGGGTATTCACAGACAGCCCGTTGGGCACCCCGTCTTTCATCTTGCCCCACGCAGCATCAATGAGGTGTGTGCTCGCCATTCCAGGGAGAGTCTCGCGAGTCTCCACGTTTGCGAGGATGGCGGGCTCTGGGCGGCTCCATTCTTTCTCGACATGCTTGACGGTGTAGTGCTGCAGAATCCCTTCGTGTTCGATGTCGTAGCACTTCGCCTCGTCCGACATTCCGATGGCTAGGGTGTCCTTGTCAAAGAGGCGGTTGCAGATCTCCACCCACCTGGCCTGCGGTTGCGCCGCAAAGGGGGTGCCAATAGGGGGGTCCTCCTCCTCCTGCGTACTCCTCCTCCTCGTCGTCGTCGCCGCCGTCGTCGTGGGCAGAGTCCCTGACGCCTGCCACCTGTCTGCCCTGAAGCCTTCCACCTGTTAGCTTTGAAGCTTCTCACCTGTTAGCCCTGGCGCCTGTCACCTGTTAGTCCCGACGCCTGTCACCTATTAGTCCCAGTGCGAGCGTTCACACGCGGGCCCCGCGCCCATTTCGGCGCACCCCTCACAAGTTTCGTGGCCCCTCACAAGTTTCGCGGCCTTTCAACGACAACGACCCAGGAAATCCCATTCGGCCCCAAGAAGTGCCAGGAGGCCCCCGGAAGCACCAGCAGGCCCCAGGAGGCCCCAGGCAGGTCCAGGAGGCCCCAGGAGGCCCCAGGATGCACCAGGAAACACCAGGAAGCCCCCTGGCGCCCCAGGAAGCCCCAGGAGGCACCAGGAGGCCCTAGGAAGGCCCCCAGGAAGGCCGAGGAGGACCCAGGAGGAAGGCCCAGGAGGCCCCAGGAGGCCCCAGGAAGCCCCAGGAAGCCTCAGAAGCCCCAGGAATCCCAGGAGGCCCCAGGAGGCCCCAGGAGGCCCCAGGAGGCCCCAGGAAGCCCCAGGAGGCCCCAGGAAGCCCCAGGAGGCCACAGGAATCCCCCAGGAGGAGGAGGAGGAGGAGGAGGAGGAGGAGGAGGAGGAGGAGGAAGACGACGATGGCGATGATCACCTCGTCGTTCCAGGGCCTCATCATCATCCTCCTCCTCCTCCTCCCGCTCCTGCCCCTCCTCATCATCATCAGTATCACCATCATCGTCATCATCATCATCAAATGCAGTATTTACAATTGCTTATGGTTGGGTTCTTCGCCAGGCTAACTTTGGATCGTCGTCGTCGTGCCCCTTTCGGCCTACCCCCCTGTTGGCGTCCCCTTTTGCGGCCCTGCTGAGGCCTTCTCGGCAGGGGGGCACCGGTGCACGTCGTGAGACGTGGTGACTCCGTACTCTTCGAACCACATGGACTCTGGATTGCCCCTCTCCATGATGCCGATAAGTACCCAGGTGTGAAACACTCGGCGGCCCTCTTCAACCGTCTCCCACGAGCCGAACGAGGACTCGTCGTACTCCAGAGTGGTGGTGAGCGGCCCCTTCTTCCCGAAGATGATGCGCTCCTGCCTCCGGACAGCGTCCCAGGCGACCACTTCCCTCGCCACCCCGCACCAATCGCGCATCAAGTCCTCCGAGCGGCGCATCTGCAAGGCGGAACACGTCATGCCCACACCCTGCACGTAGTTCCAGAAAGCGCGCGACGCCTGGCTCATGAGGTCTCCGTGGGCGAACAGCGCGTGTCCGCCGAACACTGTGTAGGAGTGTCTGCAGTGCTCGCAGCGATAGATCGCGTCCCAGCGACCAACGTCTTCCACCTTCCCTGCCACCTGCTTGCGCACGCGCCACGGCCCGAGAATGCTCGGCTTGCCGATGCTGAAACGGCTGGGTTTCTCCTTGCATGTAGGGTCGGGGCACGGCTCGCCGCGCATGTCGTGCAGGAGGCTGCTGTCGAAGGCGAAGCGTACCCATCCACGAACAGTCATGCGCGCCAGCTCGTCGTAAGACACGGATCTGCGCGCCAGTGGCACCCTGCAACGCTTGGTCGGTTTGCCCTCGTAAAGCGGGGTCCTGTTCTGCAGCCACGTGTACTTCAAGTGAGCAACCGTGCGCCACAGACGTCTCTGCAGAGGGTCCACGCCGCCATCGGGCCGAACCACGGCTGCGTCTGCAGCCTCCTTTTGAAGGAGGGGGCAGGTCTTTATCTTGTGCCCAAACTTACCGCAGTGTCTGCAATGGGAGATAAGCGTCTTCGCCTGTGCCCTGTGCTCCCTCGTGCGCTTCCGCTTAGGAGCCGCCGTCGCATCAAAAGAAGACACCACGGCGCCATCGGCCCCCACCTCCTGCGAGATGATCGCCATCTGCGTTTCTCGCAACTTCACCAACTCTCTGTGCACCGTCTCCCCGGCAGCGATCCGAGTTTCCTGCTCCTGGCTCTTGAGCACGATGGCCTCTTGCATGTCCGTCTTCTTGGCCGGCGCCTTGGCGGCAACCTCCTCCCAGAGGCCCTCGTCCCTGAGCGCCTTTTCAAACATGGGGTACTTGTGATGTAGTTTGGACACGACGGCCCAAGCGAGGTAGTCCATCCCCTGCTTCTTGTCGTCCTCGGACCCGTGCTGCTTGTGGCCAAACCCTGTCGCCACCTCTGCCACCGTCTTTCTCCTGTGCTGCCCGAATTCGATGCGATACGGCTCAGGTTCAGCAGCGCGGCCAACGGCGCCCGCGTCGCGAGCGTGATCCTCGTGCTCTCGGAGGCGCTGTGCAAACGCTCGCGCGGCACCGCCCTGTCCGTCTCCCACAATCTGCGTGTACTCGTCTCTCACCTGCTGCTTTTCGCCGTCCGTGAGTTTTCTCATCGGGTGTTCGGTGCGGGACTTGTGCGCCCACCCTTCCTTCGAGATGCTGCCGCCAGCGCAAACCGTGCAGAATCACACCAGCCCTTTCGGGCGCACGTGGTCCAAGCAGATTCCTCTTCCAACCCCCTTCTTTCCCGTCGGGGGGTCAAGGTCGGTCTGGCGGCCCCAGCGGTTTTTGGCCGCCGCACTTGGACGTCTCTGAAAACCAGCGGGCCCGGAGCTCTGAACGCCAAAAATGCCCAGTGCTTCTGGAGACACGGTCGTCGTCATCCATCATACGCGCGGTTCGGCTGCTATTTTTGCTACTCCACTGGGCGTCGTTTCTGGATGGGCTTGTGGGGATGCGCGAAGCGTCATGAATTTGTAAACCCTGAGACGTCGTTTGAGCTCCTTCTGTTGGTCTTCGGTCATCTCAACAGCGTCGGCGCCAGCCTCGGCGCCAGCGTCGGCGCCAGCCTCGGCGCCAGCCGCCGCCGCCAAAGCGGCCGCCGCCTCAGCACGGCGGCCGCCAGCGTCGGCGCCAGCCTCGGCGCCAGCCGCCGCCGCCAAAGCCGCCGCCGCCGCCGCACGGCGGCCGCCGCCGCTCTCGGCTCCAGCGTCGGCGTCAAGCGCCGCCGGCGCCGCAGCACGGCGTCCGCGATCTCCGCTCCCGCGGCAGCCTCCGCTCCCGCGGCCGCGCGCTTGCCCGCGGCGTCCACCGCGGGCCGCTGGCGCCTGGGGCTGGGGCGCCTGTGGGGCTCGAGGCTGGGACGCCTGGATTGGATCCTGGGTCAGTTCTGGCGGCCTGTCATCCCAGCTCTCTGCCTGGGGGAGGCCCGCGCCGTTCCTCGGCATGCCCCCGACCAGGCCGAGGTTGAGGTGCAATGTCGAGTGGTTCTGAATGTTGGAATCCGACAGCGTGCGCCCAGCTGCAAGCTGCTTGCCGGCGAAGATCAAGCGTTGCGTGGCGGAAGGGATGTCCTCCTTATCCTGGATCATCGCTTTGACGCTATCGATGGTGCCGCTGGCTCGCACGCTCAGGGTGATAGTCTTCCCCGTCACCGTCTTCACGAAAATCTGCATGACCTCACCAGCGGCAGCGTCGAAGTCACCCGTCGCATCGGCGGTGCCAGCGGAGGCGGTGCCAGCGGACTGGTCCAGGGACAGCTCCGCGTCCTCGTGAGGACAACGACGACGACGAGACGGAGGAGGAGGAACAGGAGGAGAAACAGGAGGAGGAGGAAGTAGGAGGAGGTAACGGGAGGAGGCAGGATGAGGAGGAGGAGGAGGAGGAGGACGGATGAGGAGGAGGAGGTAGGAGGAGGTAGGAGGAGGTCGGAGGAAGAGGTAGGAAGAGGTAGGAGGAGGAGGAGGAGGAGGAGGAGGAGGGATGAGGAGGAAGAGGAGGTAGGAGGATGTAGGAGGAGGTCGGAGGAAGAGGTAGGACGAGGTAGGAGGTCGGAGGAAGTCGGAGGAAGAGGCACGAGGATGGAAACAAGAGGGAGGGAGGAGAGCAAGGAACAAGAGGGAGGGAAAACGAGAAGGAAAAGAAGCAGGATGAGGAGGAGGAGACGGACGATGAGGAAAAGGAGGAGGAGGAGGAGGAGCAAGAATGATGATGAGGAGGAGGAGGACGAACATTGGTGGAGGGGAGGAGAGTGAGAAGGAGGAGGGGGAGGAGGAGGAGGAGGAGCCACAAAAACAGATGATGAAAAGGGGAGGGTGAGGGAAGGATTGGGGAGGAAGCGGGGGAAGCGAGAGGAGGTAGGGGGAGGTATGTGAGGAGGAGGTGGGGGGAGGTAGGGGGAGGTAGGGGGAGGAGGATGAGGATGAGGAGGCGGAGGCTGAGGATGTCACAGCCTCAGCCTCAGCCTGCAGCCTAGAGTAAGGAAGCGCTGCAAGGACGCAAGGCCCTTGGGCGGTCCTTGGACGCCCCAGTTCAAACCTTTAAAGCGGCGCACTGCCATCTCAGCGACTGCCAGACGCTCATCGACGCAAATCGACGCCAAAGACGGAATTGAGAGTGACTACCTACCCGACCACCCCAACCTAACCCGAAGACCCAAGTTTCGGGTTTAGGGGGTTACAGGTTCCACATGTAGTTTTGTCCATATTCCCCGACCCCCCTCCACTGGAACTCGGGGGTAAATTTGGGGGTTGGGTTGGGGTGGCTTGGTTGGTGGTGAGAGAGGGCATACAAGACTCCCATGACTTGTTGCCGAACGCACCTGCTTGAACAGAAATGCCGCCAGCGCACCGCCCACAAACTCGAAAGCGGCGTACACGGGGAAGTAGCTCAGGCTGCCGGGGCTGTGGTTGCCGCCCGCGTAGACGCCGAACGCCACGGCGGGGTTGAAGCAGCCCCCGGAGACAGCGCCCGCCCCGAACGCGCCCGCCACGATCACGAGGCCGATCGAGAGGCCGTAGAACTGAGAGCTCGCGTTCGCCGCGGCGCAGGCAGTATTGAGAACGACAAAGCAGAGCATGAACGTGTACACGAGCTCACACACGCCTGCCTGCCACCACTCGAAGCCATCCGCGGGCCCGAGGGCGAGGGCAAACTCCGAGCTCTTGAAGATCGCGCGGGCGAGGATGCCCGCCAGCGCGCCCGCCAACGTCTGCACCAACGAGTAGAGGAAGACGTCAGCCCAGGGCAACTTGCCGACGAGGCCGAGCGTGACAGACACAGCGGGGTTGAAGTTCGCTCCAGAAACTTTTGCCAGGGCGTAGATGCCGACCATGAGGGAGAAACCGATCGAACTGCCCGCCGCTGCCGTGCCGCTGAGGACGTTGCAGCCGAGGGTAAACATCAGAAGGAAGGTGCCCACGAACTCGCCGACGAGCGCCCTTTTGCGAGCCATTGCGATTCCGATGGACGTGCCAAGTGGGAACTGCTGGAACGGGTTGCAGAGCAACTAATGGTGCTCGAATTGTGCGACATGTTTTCGCAACGACAAAGATCTTGAACCGAAATGGTTACGGAACGGCTCTTTGGTGTTATTGGAACCGTCGGGCGGTTTGCGCATATGCACATTCAATCCAAAGCGAGCGGAACCTTCCGTGATATCCGAAAGACATGTGTTGCAACAATTAATTGGGGGTCCCAACACGGTGCGGTGACAGATCGTGTGTGTGTGTGTGTGTGTGTGTGCGTGTGTGTGTGATTCTCAGCCTGGAGGCGGAATCTCTGGGAATCCTAGGAATCTCTGGGAATCCTAGGAACCTCTGGGAATCCTAGGAATCTCTGGGAATCCTAAGAATCTCTGGGAACCTTAGGAATCTTTGGGAATCCTAAGAATCTCTCGGAATCCTAAGAATCTGTGGGAATCCAAGAAACCTTTAAGAATCCTAAGAAACTCTGGGAGTCCTACGAACCTCCTTGGGAATCCCAGGAATCTGTTGGAATCCTAGGAACCCTTCGGAATCCTAGGAATCTGTGGGAATCCAAGAAACCTCTAGGAATCCGATGAATCTCTGGGAGTCCTAAGAACCTTTGGGAATCCTAAGATTCTCCGGGAATCCTACGACTCTCTCGGAATCCTTGGAATCATTAAGAATCCTAAGAATCTCTGGGAATCCTAAGAATCTCCGGGAATCCTAGGAATCTCTAGGAATCCTAAGGATCTCTAGGAAACCTACGGATCTTTCGGGATCCCAGGAATCTCTGGGAATCCTAAGAATATGTTGGAATCCTAGGAACCCATCCGAATCATAAAAATCGCTGGGAGTGCTAAGAATCTGTTGGAATCCTAAGGATCTCTGGGAATCCTAGGAATCTCTGGGAATCCTACGAGTCTCTGGGGATCCTAAGAATCTATGGGAATCCTAGCAATCTCTAGGCATCCTCTGAATCTCTGGGGATTCTGGGATTCATTCGGAATCCTACGAATCTCTGGTGATCCTGTGAATCTTTTGGAATACTAAGAATCTCTGGGGACCCCAGGAATCTCTGGGAATCCTAGGACACTCTGGGAACCCTAGGAATCCCTAGGAATCCTGCGAATCTCTGGGAATCCCATGAATCTGTTGGAAGCCTTTGAATCTCTTGGAATCCTAAGAATATTAAGAGATTCTAAGAATCTCTGACATTCTTACGAATCTCTAGGCATCCATTGAAATCTTTGGGATTCTTGAAAATCTCTGGTGATCCTACGAACCTCTTGGAATCCTACGAATCTCTGATCCAAGGAATCTCTGGGAATCCTAAGGGTCTCCGGGCATCCTAAGAATCTCTGGGAATCCTCAGAACCTTTGGGATTCCGAGGAATCTCTGGGAATCCTACGCATCTCTGGAAATCCTAAGAATCTCTGGAATCGTAGGAATCTCTAGGAATCCGAGGAATCTTTGGGAATCAGAAGAACCTCTGCGAATCCTAGGAATCTCTCGGGATCCTAGGAATCTCTGGAAATTACTAAAAATCTCTGAAATCATAAGAATCTCTAGGAACCCTAGAATCTCTAAGAATCCAAAGCATCTCTGGGAATCCCACGAATCTCTGGGAATCCTAAGAATCTCTCGGAATCCTACAAACCTCTGGGAATCCTAGGGATCTTAAAGAATCCTAGGAATCTATGGGAATCCTAGGAATCTCTGGGAATCCTGAGAATCTCCAAGAATCTTAAGAATCACTGGGAATCATCGGAATCTCTAGGAATCCTAGGAATCTTTGGGAATCCCAGGAATCTTTGGGAATCATAAGAATCTCTAGGAACCCTAGGAATATGTAAGAGTCCAAAAAACTTCAAGGAATCCTAAGAATCTCTGGGAATCGTATGGGTCTCTGGAAATAATAGGAATCTATGGAATCCTAAGACTCTCTCGGGTTCGTAGGAATCTCTAGGAATCCGAAAAATCTATGGGAATCCTGAGAATCTGTCGGAACCCTATGGATCTCTAGGAACGATGCCTTCGGTTGCGCCCCCTGTGGGGCCACGAACCGTGTGAGGGGTGCGCCGAAATAGACCCGAATCCTTCGGTTGCGCCCCCTGTGGGGCCGCGAAAGCCTTCGGCTGCGCCCCCTGTGGGGCCACGAACCGTGCGTGTGAGGGGCGCGCCGAGATGGGCCCCAAGTTTTCGGCTCCGCCCCCTGTGGGGCAGCGAAAGCCTTCGGTTGCGCCCCGTGTGGGGCCACGAACCGTTTGGGGGGTGCGCCGAAATCGGCCCGAAGCCTTCGGTTGCGCGCCCTGTGGGGCCACGAACCGTGTGAGGGGTGCGCCGCAATGGACCCGAGGCCGTCGGCTGCGCCCCATGTGGGGGCGCGAAAGTCTTCGGTTGCGCCCCGTGTGGGGCCACGAACCGTGTGAGGGGTGCGCCGAAATGGACCCGAAACCTTCGGTTGCGCCCACTGTGGGGACACGAACCGTGTGAGGGGTGCGCCGAAATGGACCCGAGACCTTCGGTTGCGCTCCCTGTGGGGCCGCGAAAGCCTTCGGTTGCGCCCCCTGTGGGGCCACGAACCGTGTGAGGGGTGCCCCGAAATAGGCCCGAAGCATGTGGTTGCGCCCCCTGTGTGGCCACGAACCGTGTGAGGGGTGCGCCGAAATGGACCCGAAGCCTTCGGTTGCGCCCACTGTGGGGCCGCGAAAACCTTCGGCTGCGCCCCCTGTGGGGCCACGAACCGTGTGAGGGGTGCGCCGAAATTGGCCCGAAGCTTTCGGCTGCGCCCCCTGTGGGGCTGCGAAAAGCTTCGGCTGCGCCCCTTGTGGGGCCACGAACCGTGTGAGGGGTGCGCCGAAATGGACCCGAGACCTTCGGTTGCGCTCCGTGTAAGGCCACGAACCGTGTGAGGGGTGCGCCGAAATGGGCCCGAGGCCTTCGGTTGCCCCCCCTGTGGGGCAACGAAAGCCTTCGGTGGCGCCCCGTGTGGGGCCACGAACCGTGTGAGGGGTGCGCCGCAATGGACGCGAGGCCTTCGGCTGCGCCCCCTGTGGGGCAGCGAAAGCCTTCGGTTGCGCCCCGTGTGAGGCCACGAACCGCGTGAGGGGTGCGCCGAAATGAGCCCGAAGCCTTCGGTTTCGCCCCCTGTGGGGCAACGAATCGTTTGAGGGGTACGCCGAAATGGACCCGAGACTTTCGGTTGCGCCCCCCTGGGGCCGCGAAAGCCTTCGGTTGCGCCCCCTGTGGGGCCACGAACCGTGTGAGGGGTGCGCCAACATGGACCCGAAGCCTTCGGTTGCGCCCCCTGTGGGGACACGAACCGTGTGAGGGGTGCGCCGAACTGGGCCCGAAGCCTTCGGTTGCGCCCCCTGTGGGGCCGCGAAAGCCTTCGGTTGCGCACCGTGTGGGGCCACGAACCGTGTGAGGGGTGCGCCGAAATGGACCGCGAAAGCCTTCGGTTGCGCCCCCTGTGGGGCCACGAACCGTGTGAGGGGTGCGCCGGAATGGGCCCGAAGCCTTCGGTTGCGCCCCCTGTGGGGCCACGAACCGTGTGAGGGGTGCGCCGAAATGGACCCGAGGCCTTCGGTTGCACCCCCTGTGGGGCCGCGAAAGCCTTCGGTTGCGCCCCGTGTGGGGCCACGAACCGTGTGAGGGGTGCGCCGAAATGGACCCGAAACCTTCGGTTGCGCCCCCTGTGGGGCCACGATGTGTGAGGAGTGCATCGAAATGAACTCGAGACTTTCGGCTGCGCCCCTTGTGGGGCCGCGAAAGCCTTCGGTTGCGCCCTGTAAGCGGCCACGAACCGTGTGAGGGGCGCCGAAATGGGCCCGAAGTCTTCGGCTGCGCCCCCTTGTCGGGCCACGAACCGTGCAAGGGGTGCGCCGAAATGGACCCGATGCCTTCGGTTGCGCTTGCTGTGCGGCCACGAACCGTGTGAGGGGTGCGCCGAAATGGACCCGAGGGTTTCGGTTGCGCCCCCTGTGGGGCCCGAGGCCTTCGGTTCCGCCCCTTGTGCGGCCACGAACCGTTTGAGGGGTGCGCCGAAATGGGCCCGAGGCCTTCGGTTCCGCCCCTTGTGCGGCCACGAGCCGTTTGAGGGGCGCGCAAAAATCGACCCGAAGCCTTCGGTTGCGCCCTTGTGGGGCGCCGAACCGTGTGAGGGGTGCGCCGAAATGGGTCCGAAGTCTTCGGTTGCGCCCCCTGTAAGGCCACGAACCGTGTGAGGGGCGCGCCGAAATGGACCCGAGACCTTCGGTTGCGCCCCCTGCAAGGCCACGAACCGTGTGAGGGGTGCGCCGAAATGGGCCCGAGGCCTTCGGTTGCGCCCCCTGTGGAGCCACGAACCGTGTGAGGGGTGCACCGACATGGGCCCGAAGCTTTCGGTTGCGCTCCCTGTGGGGCCGCGAAAGCCTTCGGCTGCGCCCCCTGTGGGGCCACGAACCGTGTGAGGGGTGCGCCGAAATGGACCCGAGACCTTCGGTTGCGGGCTTGAGGGCCACGAACCGTGTGAGGGGTGCGCCGAAATGGACCGCGAAAGCCTTCGGTTGCGCCCCCTGTGGGGCCGCGAAAACCTTCGGCTGCGCCCCCTGTGGGGCCACGAACCGTGTGAGGGGTGCGCCGAAATTGGCCCGAAGCTTTCGGCTGCGCCCCCTGTGGGGCTGCGAAAAGCTTCGGCTGCGCCCCTTGTGGGGCCACGAACCGTGTGAGGGGTGCGCCGAAATGGACCCGAGACCTTCGGTTGCGCTCCGTGTAAGGCCACGAACCGTGTGAGGGGTGCGCCGAAATGGGCCCGAGGCCTTCGGTTGCCCCCCCTGTGGGGCAACGAAAGCCTTCGGTTGCGCCCCCTGTGGGGCCACGAACCGTGTGAGGGGTGCGCCGAAATTGGCCCGAAGCTTTCGGCTGCGCCCCCTGTGGGGCCGCGAAAACCTTCGGCTGCGCCCCCTGTGGGGCCACGAACCGTGTGAGGGGTGCGCCGAAATGGAC